TGTGTTTTTCATGGCTATATAAAGATTTTCTTCTTGCCTATAAACTTTGAAAAATATTATATTTAGAGTTAGTATTGCAGACACATTTTTGAATTAGCATTTTCCTTTCTTTTTCACAATCCTCTTTGACACTTGGTGGTAAGCAATGGCCCAAAACATTCACAACTACAGTTATAAAATTTCACTTATTCTCTCACAATAAGAAAAATATGTTAAAAGTAGACAGTATATGTTTGTGATTAGGTAGAAAATTACTGTGCTATCTTCTAACCAGTTGATCCAGCAATGTAGAAACTCAGTCTTGTCCTATTTTAGGTCAACGATACGATACAGATACCAGATGTCATCTAAGATGATTCATTAAAAAAATTCTGCAAATAATTATTTTTCATTTAAATTACTGAAAATTAATAATTATAAATATACATGTTATATTTATATTTTACACTAAGATATATAAATTAGTAAGAATTAGGAATTCATGAGTTACTTTATAAGCAGAAAGGGTAAGCAAAGGCAAGTTAGAAATTCAATATGAATCTGCTAACAAAAGGATGAGAGAATTATTGACAAGTTTTGAGTGTATCTAGGCAAATAGACCCTAGTAAACTGACACAGATAAAAATATATGAATTAAAAAGGCTGCGAGCTGGGATAATTTAAAATTTGATGTAGGTTTTGGAGGAAAGTAAGTACTGACCAATACTAGAAAGTGGAGAGGAGGCTGCCATGTTGCACAGTGCCAGTGAACACAATTTTGAGTGTACTGTGAATGTCACTCCCTGGAGTTGTACAGTGTGACATACTAATATTTACGTACTACTTGTTATTTACTTAGCACTGTTCTGGTCAATTCACTTATATTAAATTATAGCTAGTGAATCTAAGATGGGGAATTGGATATAGGATTAGGGAGACAATATGTCCTGGGACTTGGATTATCACATATGGAACAAATGAGAGTCTAAGGTCAGCATTCTAGTTAGTAATCAGAGGGTTTTAATGGAGATTACATATATATATTTAAATTAATTCCAAAATATTTAAAATAGATAGTACAGAAAAAAATTCACCCCACATTTCTGCTACCTCGACATATTATTTTTCCTTGTCTATATTCCCTTCTATTTTTTTGTTCATGTTCACATAACTCTAAGCATGCTTAATAGGTTGAATTTTGATTCTCATTGTTTAAATTGAGCTATTTTATTTTGATGGAGAAGGCTGCCATTCAGTCTTTCATATTTTGACTTGTATATCGATATTATCTTAAGCGTCTGATTTACATAGTAGTTTTACCTGTGTCTTATGACTGGTTCCTAATCCTGACCTACTGTGCTTGTCCAGTTCTGTGGCCACCAGCCCGTGTCTATACCTAAACAGACTCTTATTTTTATATGTAATATGTTCTTGTAAACACTTAAAACAGTTGAATGTGAAGGAACTGAACCATACCTTTTTTCAGTGTCCCAGAGAGTATAAAAATATTTAATTTTTTTACTTCTATTTTTTAAAAGGTACTTGATTGTTTATTTTTTTAAAAATATATTTTACTGATTTTTTACAGAGAGGAAGAGAGAGAAACAGAGAATTAGAAACATCGATGAAAGAGAAACATTGATCAGCTGCCTCCTGCACATCCCCCACTGGGGAAGTGCCCGCAACCCAGGTACATGCCCTTGACCGGAATCGAACCCGGGACCCCTCAGTCCGCAGGCCGACGCTCTATCCACTGAGCCAAACCGGTTTTGGCGATTGTTTATTTTTTAAAAATATAGTTTTAAAAAATATTTTTAGAGAGAGAGGAAGAGAGCGGTTGAGAGAGAGAAGCATCAATTAAAGAGAAACATTGAGCTGTAACCGGTTTGGCTCAGTGGACAGAGCATCGGCCTGCGGACTAGAAGGTCCCAGGTTCGATTCCGGTCAAGGGCATGTACCTTGGTTGCGGGCACATCCCCAGTGGGAGGTGTGCAGGAGGCAGCTGATATTTCTAACTCTCTCTCTCCCTTCCTCTCTGTAAAAAAAAAAATCAATAAAATATATTAAAAAAAAAAAAAGAGGAACATTGAGTGGCTGCCTCCTGTATGCCCCCTCCTGGGGATCAAACCCGCAACCTGAGCTTGTGCCCTGACCTGGAATCAAACTGGTGACCTCTCAGTACATGGGACAATGCTCAACCAACTGAGCCACACGAGCCAGGGCTAAATATATTTTTTAATTATAATTTTTTTCAATTATATAGGCTTGACGTGATCTTGGATGATATAGTTCTGGCATTTCATAGGTGTCTTTGTTTTTGTTCTTTTGTAGTCATAGAGCTTATTGAATTACAGTCCAGTGAGCATTTCTTTGAGACTAATGATTGTTTCTATCTTTATATTAATTATATTAAATTTATGAGACCTACATTTCTTATCATGAGTTTTAGCACTTTCATTTTTCCATTTTTCTGTCATGTTTACAAAATAGGGGGAAATGAAGTGTAAAATCCCGATAGTATATAAGCTGCTATACAAAGATTGTGATATTGCTGGCAGGCAGCATTGGCTCAGAGCTCAAAATGTTTGTCAGCTGATGTTCAAAAGTCCCAACTTCATAATATTTAAGGTGATTTAAGGAAATCAGATTGCATATGAAAGTCTAATGTCTTTGATTTTAGCCATCTTAGTGGGTGTGAAGTGGTATCTTGTGTTTTTTTTTTTTAAAAAGTAATAGCATTATTGAATTGTAATTCATCCTTTTAAAGTGTACAGTTCAGTGGATTGTAATATCTTTTTTTAAAAATTTTTTATTTCAGAGAGGAAGGGAAAAGAAGAGAGAGATAGAAACATCAGTGATAAGAGGGAATCATTGATTGGTTGCCTCCTGCTCCTTGGACTGAGCCAGCAACCCAGGCATATGTCCTTGACCAGAATTGAACCTGGGACCCTTTGGACCACAGGCCGATGCTCTATCCACTGAGCAAAACTGGCTAGGGCAATTGTAATATCTTTACAGAGTTATGCAATGATCACCACTGTCCAATTCCAGAACATTTTCATTACTAAAAAAAAAAAAAAAAAAAAAATACCCTGTACCTATTAACCTACTTTCTGTTTGCATGGATTCCAAGTATTTCACATAAATGGAATCACAGTGTGGTCTTTTGTGTCTGATTCTTTTCACTTAGCATGCTTTCACGATTTATAGCATGTATCAGCAGCACTTTATTCTTTTTGGTGACTGAATAATATTCCATTAGGTGGACATACCACATATTCTTTATTGATCAGTTGATAGACATATGGGTTGTTCCCACTTTTTGGCTATCTATAATAATAAAAGTATAATATGCTAATTAGACCGGACAGCCGAACAACCTTCAGGACATCATTCTGAACGTCCTTCTGGATGAAGCCATGGCAGGGGGGCTGAGGCAGAGGCGGTTAGAGGCAATCAGGCAAGCAGGCAAGCAGTTAGGGGGGATCAGGCAGGCAGGTGAGCGGTTGGGGGCAATCAGGCAGGCAGGCAGAGGCAGTTAGGGGTGATCAGGCAGGCAGGCGAGTAGTCAGGGGCAATCAGGCAGGCAGGTGAGTGGTTAGGGGCAATCAGGCAGGCAGGCAGGTAGGGGCAATCAAGCAGGCAGGTGAGTGGTTAGGGGTGATCAGGCAGGCAAGCAGGCAAGCAGTTAGGAGCCAGCAGTCCCAGATTACGAGAGGGATGTCCAACTGCCGGTTTAGGCCCTATCCCGCAGGGATCCTGCAGCAGGACCGGGCCTAAACCAGCAGTCGGACATCCTCTGAGGAGTCCCAGATTGCGAGAGGGTGGAGGCCGGGCTGAGGACTTTTCCATAGTGACTACACCATTTTACAATCCACCAGCAATGTTATAAGGATTACAATTTTCTACTTTCTCACCAACCCTTGTTACTATCTTTTTTATTTCAGCCATCTAGTGTTTGTAAAGTGGTACCTTATGTGCATTTTCCTAGTGACAAATTATGTTGAGCATCTTTTCGTGTGCTTGTTGGCCATTTGTATATCTTCTTTGGAGAAATATGTATTCAAATTCTTCCCTCATTTTGAATTGGGTTATTTGTCTTTATATTAGTGAGTTGTAAGAGTTTTTTGCATATTCAGGATACAAGGCTTTTATCAGCTATATGATTTACAAACATTTTCTCTCATTCTGTTGTTTATCTTTTTGCTTTCTTGATGGTGTCCTTTGAAACATAAATAGTTTTAATTTTGGTAAAGTCCAATTTGTCTACTTTTTATTTTTTCTTTGCTTATGCTTTTGGTGTTATATTTAAGAAGCCATTGCTTTATCTGAAGTCTCTAAGATTTATACCTTATACTTCCTCCTAAGAGTTTTATACCTTTAGCTCTTACATATAGGTTTTTAAAAATTCATTTGGGGTGGATGGAGGGAGATTAACCATATATGCATAGCCCATGGACACAGACAATAGTCTGGTGACAGCCTGGGAGGGGCAAGTGTGAGTGGGGTGGAGGGGATCAATGGGGGAAAAATACAAAAGAACAAACCAAGGGAGATATCTGTAATACTTTCAACAATAAATATAAATTAAAAAATAAACTTAAAAGTAAAATTCATTTTGATTTGATTTTTGTATATGGTCTGAGATAGGTATCCAAATTTCTTCTTTTGCTTGTGGAAGTCTAGTTGTCCCAGCACCATTTGTTGAAAAGACTATATTTTCCCCCATTGAATGGTCGTGACCTTCTTATCAAAAATCAATTGACCATAGTGTAAGGCTTTCTGGACTCTCAATTCTATTTCATATATATGTCTATCCTTTGCCAGTACCACACTATCTTCATTACTATAGATTTGTAGTACATTTTGAAATTGGGAAGTGTGAGTCATCCAACTTTGTTCTTTTTCTAGATAACTATGGCCAATTCTGAATTCCTTGCATTTTAATATGGATTTTAAGATCAGTTTGTCAATTCTGCAGAAATTGTCTTCATTTTTTTTGTTTATTTATCTATCTATCTTGATATTTCTTTGAAATGAGTTGACAGTTCCATCTCCTAAGTTCTGAAATGGCCAACAGACCGTAGAAAGACATTTCTTTAGGCTCTTGCTGGAAACCAACAGCTTAAGCAAATTGCAGGTCTTGATTCAGGGCCAGTCTTTATTTTTAAAACATAAAGTGTTTTTGAATTTTTATACAGTGTGAAATTTCCCCAAACACCAAAGGAATACAACATGCAAAACATAGGTGGTACGGCAATGGTCATAATCTATAAGAACATACCAAATTAGATAGTATATCACATTATACTAGTACCATAGCATCAGCTAGAACAGGTGTTTCGAAAGTAAGACTTTACATAGTCACTCAGTACTATCAGTTTGGGGGGAAAAAATGAATCCTTACATTTAGGGAAAAACCAGTGTTACTCTGTGAAGCTCCAGTGTTACACAGTGGAGATGGCACTCGTGAACTGGCTAAACTGTGGAGTGAGGCTGGCTCTGCTCGGATAGCCACGTTAGCACTTACTAGCTGCATGGCCTTGAATAAGTTACTTAACCTCATCTATAATATACAGATATTGCAACCATCACATTGGGCTACTGTGAGGAATTAGTGAGAAAATATGCAAAAACACTTAGAAAGTTGCCAGGCACATTGTGAATCCTCAATAAGTTTAGCATTTAAAACTGTGATCAAAATTTAATTCATCTCTAAAGATTTGAAAAGGCTTTAAGGAAATGTTTGCTTTTTTAAAATTTTTTTTTTAAACTAGCCTTGGAGAACAAGAATTAAAAAAGAAAAAAACAACAAGGAAATCTCTTAATTCCATTCCAATACTGAATGTCTGTAAGGCTCTTAAAATGTTTTGTGATGCCGAAACCGGTTTGGCTCAGTGGATAGAGCGTTGGCCTGCGGACTGAAAGGTCCCAGGTTCGATTCCGGTCAAGGGCATGTACCTGGGTTGCGGGCACATCCCCAGTAGGAGATGTGCAGGAGGCAGCTGATCGATGTTTCTCTCTCATCGATGTTTCTAACTCTCTATCTCTCTCCCTTCCTCTCTGTAAAAAATCAATAAAATATATTTTAAAAAAAATGTTTTGTGATAAAAATTGACACTTACACACACACATACATACACAAACCTGACACTTCTCTCAAGGAGCAGAGAAATTTACTTAATGATGGGGAAAATACGCAAACTGTCATGCTTGGGAGGGGAAGAGAAGACATAATAGAAGTTGTACAAAATAAAATTATATTTGCTTTCAAAAAAGAGTTCCCACCTGGCTATAGGGATTAGGGTAGTCTTCATGGAGGGGGTGGCATCTGAGATGAATCCTCCCAGTCTGGGATGGTTGATAGATAAGCAGGGAAAAGCTAGGTATTTGGGCTCATAAAGAAACAGCACAAAAATCCAGAGACAGGGTCCATGTTCCCCAAATAAAAGTGGGGTTGGGGTGCATTTGAAATGCATGTGCCTGGTTTTGCTTGTTTTACTGACGAGGGAGCACTGCTGGCATTTAATAAGGGGATAATGATAAACATCCTGCAATAATGTGGGCAGAATGAGTGATACAGATGAAATGTATGTCATTTATTTCTGAGGGCCTGAGTGTCAGGCTGAAATTTCTACTTATATAGGTAGATAGATGCCTGGGCAAGAGACACAGGAGGAATGATGCTATGAAGGGAGAAACAAAGGTTATCGAAGTCAAATTACTGGGGTTTAGTTCTAGCATTTTAAAATATGAAGATTTAAAATTGGAAGATGATTTCTCAAGCCCTACCCTTAAAGTCTGATTTATCTAAATATAATTATATAGGGTCTATGGATGAACTTAGTGAATTAAATGGGGCTGAGGAACGGTCATTTAATGGAGATGAACCTGATGAACCCATGAATAGAATAGAATTCAAGGGTCCATGAACTTGAATGTGAAAAAAAATCATGTCTTATTTTCACTAACAGCTAACTGAAACATAGTATTTCCTTCCACAAAGAAAACAGAACTATCAGCAGTACCTAGGATTTTGTCATTAATAAAAATCACAAATACTTTCATGGCATACTTAATGCAGTTACCTTAAAATATTTACACTGCATTGAAATTATAGGTGGAACTTGCTGCTAGCACTTATTAACGTACCCTTAAAGAAGCAAATATATTACCATATAAATATAGAAAAATATTTAAATAACATTTCCTTTGTAACCATATGCCTTTCACTTACATTTAAATATGTTTTATTGAGAATCAGTCCATAGACTTTACCAGGCCACCAAAGGACTAAAAGTGGGAAAGGTGGAGATATAGAAGGTTGTGAGAATGGAGGCAAGAAGGAAGTTGAGGCTGGCATTAGGAGCCGCAGCATTTTGAGTGTCGGAAGTAGATGGTATGAGCATCAGGAGAGGGTGCAAGAGGATAGAGCCAGCACGTGGAAGTGGGCATGCAAAGCTACCCCTCTGAGTCAGAGGGATTTCAATGGAAGGAGCGTCTTCGCTGGCTGAATTTAGGAGGGAATTAGTATTGTCAGGAAAAGTAAAAATTTGAGTCAGTGTGAAGAAATAGAGGATTAATGATTGCAATGATGATACCAATGGCAACAACTGCTATTTATTGGGCACTTACTAAGTACTTAAATATTATTTAGTTTAATCTTCGAAGAAATCTTGGGAAAATAGCTATTTTTACTGTTCCCATTTTACAGGTGAAGAAACTGAGGGTCAGATATGGTAAGGTCACTTGCAGAGTTAGCACAGCTGACAATTTGCTAGTCTGGGATCTAAACCTCTCCTGATTCCAAAGCCTGTTCTAGTTTTCGCTGCGTCATATTGAGTTAGAGCAGTGGTTCTCAACCTTCTGGCCCTTTAAATACAGTTCCTCATGTTGTGACCCAACCATAAAATTATTTTCGTTGCTACTTCATAACTGTAATGTTGCTACTGTTATGAATCGTAATGTAAATATCTGATATGCAGGATGGTCTTAGGCGACCCCTGTGAAAGGGTCGTTCAACCGCCAAAGGGGTCGCGACCCACAGGTTGAGAACCCCTGAGTTAGAGGCTCTAAAGGCACTGGCAAAAATAGCACCTAGAGTGCAGGAGGACTGAGCTGCGTGGGGATGAAAGCGGGCAGCTGTGGAAGGGGAGTCTGTGGCCAGAATTTTGGAAAATCAGGCTTAAAGACACAGGCAGTTTGGTTAGTAGACTGGAGAGGTTGAAGAAGAGATGAGATGCCACAGATTTATTTCTATTTCACTGGCATTGAGAATCAGGTTCCCATTGTTTCAGAAAGTCCCAGATAGATGGGAGGTTTATGTCAGATGCTCCTTTTCTCTCTTCCCTCTCCACAGTACATCCTGCCCACACTGGGGTGAAGAGTCTGATCTTAGTAGCCTTATGAAGCGGCATTTGGAACCTTCTCTTCTTTGCCTGGCCTTCAGACCCCAATTTTCCAGAGACCGCAATTGAGAAAGACCTTTTGTTGCTGTACAATAGGGGGGAAACTCCCAGGGCTGTAAAACAGACGGAGGACTTTGCAAAATATAGCAAGTTCATGTCTGCTAATATGTTAAGTGATTTGGCCTCCCTCGTGTAAGTAGTGATTTGTTGTTTTCATGCTAATACAAATTCTTGTATTAATAGGAGCATGGCCCTGGGTTTCTTCATCCGCCTGGGAAAAAATTACTTGTTTGATGGTAAACAAAGAACAGAAGAATTGATTCACTGTCCTCATTTTTAAAAAAAGATGGTATGAAGCAATAGTGGAATAATTTTAATTGTAACCTTCTAACACTTGCCATCAGTAAGATCATTTGTGTTCTGTTTTTAGGAAATGGAGTATTAAAGAGTACATAGTGCATTAGAAATGCAAAACATGACCGCATGTTCTCAGGGTTTTGTCAGTGTGACATGAAAGAGCGCTTGTACTGGGATGCTCAGCTCTGAGGGTATTCTCTGTTCAGTGTGTATTTACAGAGATGTATGAATATTTGATTAATGAGTCATGGGCTCTGGAGAAATTTAATAACAGTATTGCTGTACAAAGCCAGGCCCTTAACTGTTAACACAGCTGCCAATAGTGTCATTGACACTGCAGCCCTTTCTGAATCGAGTAGATTCTATGGAGTAAATTCCTCACTCAAGAAGGGATCTGAGAGAGGCATTATTCGGTTATCTGTTTTGAACTTTACTCAGTTTATAGGCTCTGATTTGTCAAGATTTTTTTCAGTGAAAACAAGCGGTGATACGGAAACTTAAAAATGATCTTTTTAAAATGATTACTTTCCTCAGAAAGTGGTTGGAAAAAATCATTGGTAAGTAAAAAGCAGTGATTATTCTCTTCAAGAGTTTTGTTAGGGACTCCGTAATAATTTTTGTCTTGCTTATCGTATATGAAATATCCACAAGAAGAAGAAATAGGAGATATATTTGTGATTTAGACTCACATCTATTTGAATGCCATAATCTAAATTATGAAATATAATTTAATCCTCAGGAATTATTGAAGGCTAATTTATCCCTTCATCTATTTTTTTAATTTTAATATCTATGGAGAAATCAATTCTAACTTTCAAAGGTAGGTAGGTATTTTAGTAATGTTACCTCATTTAACTGCTTGAGTCACAGGGAGAAATGTCAAAAAAAGATAAATTTAGTGCAGGCGCTTTTGCTGGAAGCTGTAACTGCAGGTTAGAATTATCCATGCTATGCAGAATTTCCTGCAACACTTCTCCTTAGGGCCACAATGCATTACAGCAGACGTATAATGAAGCTGCTATAAAATCTCTGGTAATTAAGGGGGATTTGACAGTAATTGCAACAGTGAATCAACTTAATTATTACCTGCTTCAAAGAGAGCTAACCTGATGTTATAATCTAACCTTTTCTACTTTTAAAACGGGAGATTAAACAAGTATATGTAGCATTTAAGAATTAAATCTGTTGAGATAGAATTGTGTTAATATACTTCTAATATATATTTTATGCACATGTACACATCATCTTCTCAAGAAGAACTAGGATTAGGCTCTCTGTGATCCATTAAAGTTATTGGAAATGGACCCAAACCCACATTTCTGATTCAAGTCAGCTTCTCCTCAAGACACACATAGACCTTGACTGTGGTCTACTTGCTTTCCACAGCATAGAC